GCTATAGTAAACATTTTCTTATCCGGACAACATAATAACCATTTCCTTATTAACTACCGTACAGTGCTTATTTTTTGGGCACGAAATTGCTCAATCCTTCAAGTGGTTTTGATTATGTACTTACATCTCGCAAAATAGTCTCTTATTGCACTGAGTCTGGGAAGAGTTCTCAACCTTCCCTAAGTCGCAAAAGAAAATTGAAATAATCTCACATTTATCGAGAGTTTAAAACATTTCGGCAATGATTTTTCTTAAGTTAATTTATTTTTTTTTTAATTAAGTTGTTCCCAGCATACCACAGAGTCCGCTGGGTGCACAATTAGGACTCCCTAGGCTAGGGAGGCTGTGAAAAGAGTCGCAAAGGAGCATGCCCGCAGGAGAAAAGGGCATTCTTTATACATATACTAGCAGACCCGGCGAACTTCGTCCCGCCCAAAATTAGATTTTTAATTTAAACAGTTTGGTCCAACAGTTTCTCCAACAATCCACATTTACGATTTGTACTGGCACACTCATCGACTAAGACTATAGGTTGATGGTCGTTTGCCACCATGAGAAGTTCCCTGGTGGCAACAATGATCCGGATCTATAGTGAATGTGCACGAGAAACCTTCTCTTATAGTTGATGGCAATTTCAAAATGAATGCGTATCCTTGTTTAACAGAAATACAATATACATACGTAAACTGAGATGAAATACCTTAAAAAGTTTCGCGAAAGCAATTTAAGTGAAAAATTATTTTTTTCTGTCAGGTTCTATATTAAATTCAGTTAAAAAATAAATTTTCATTAAATTACTTTCATGAAACAGGCTTTTAAGTTATTTCAACAGGTGGTGATTTGAGATTTACCACTGCCCAACTCATCCCTGGTTTTTTCGAATGAAGCTTTAACGCATAATAATATTGGCAAATCCGATCCTTTCCATTGGCCAATCGTAACACACGGGAGTGCGATATACTCAATGGTGCAACAGGTCGATTTAGTCGACCTCAGCACCAGCTGGCAGCTCTTTTTTGCAATTGGACTGCCTTTACCGTTTTGAAAATTCGGCAAATCGGATCATAAAAAAGATTTTTAGTTATAACTCAACTCCAGCGCCAACTGGCGGATTAAATTGTGAAACTAAACTATCCAGAGACCCACTCAAACACACACACAGAACTTTGTTAAAATAAGGATTTCCCTCACAAATATACCTACAGAAGAATTATATACACATTCAAAGATAAGTAAAAGTTAGTACGTTTGTACTTTTCCATGCCCCTTTTTAAAGAGCCTATTTTTCTCATTGAGTATGGGATTAATTTTCATATCTCCATACGAAGTGTTCTAGTACTGTACCATTAACTCTTCCAGAGATATGCAGTATGAAATTCGGCTTGTAGGTGCCACGCCCCGTTTTCCAATAGCTCCATATTTTCTCCATGACTATGCGATTGATTTCATATATCACCACACCAAGTTCCAGTACTCTACTAAGAACAATTCTAGAGATGTGCAATAAGAAAAATTCTACTTGTATGGGAGGTGCCACGCCCGTATAAAGCTCCAGTACTCTACCATGAAGTTTCCAGAGACATACAGTATGACAATTTCGGTTTGTATGGGAGGTGCCACGCCCCCTTTTCAAATAGTCCGAATTTTTCGTCATGAGTATGCGATTGATTTCATATATCTCCATACCAAGTTCCAGTACTCTACCATGAACATTTCCAGAGACATACAGTATGACAATTTCGGTTTGTATAGGAGGTGCCACACCCCCTTTTATATATCGAGATTGTTCTTAGCCGATATCCATCCTTTGAACGTCTGCAGCAAGTGTCCGAAATTTAAAAAAAAATCGGTTCAGCCGTTCGCGAGCTTTGCGATATATGTACATACATGGATGGATAAGAGCTGCCGCTTTTAATATTGCGCTCACTTACGTACAAAAAAACTAACCAGCATGGTTTTTATGCGTAATTATATACCTAAATATCATGTGTATGTACATAATTATGCATATACAAATGTAAGTGCTAACAGCAATGTAAGTTGCTCCTTGTGGCAACATAAANCGATATATGTACATACATGGATGGATAAGAGCTGCCGCTTTTAATATTGCGCTCACTTACGTACAAAAAAACTAACCAGCATGGTTTTTATGCGTAATTATATACCTAAATATCATGTGTATGTACATAATTATGCATATACAAATGTAAGTGCTAACAGCAATGTAAGTTGCTCCTTGTGGCAACATAAACGACTCTACCTACATAATTGCCTACATTATTTCTCCATGTACAGTTCATACATATTTGTTTTATTTTTTTAACATAAGAATCAACATTAACGCTAACATTATGTATGTATGCATGCATATGTATACATAACCCTTGCTTTGCGCTGTATTCCGTAGGAATTAAGAGCAGAGGGCGCTCTCAGCGCAGTGTTAGATTCATAGGATTTTTAAAGTCCTCCAGTTCCATTTTTAGGAAAGTATTAAAACTTTTTTTTTTGCCTAAGACAATGAGAAGCCCATCCAGAATCTATAACCGAAATTTCCAAAAAAATCGGTACTGCCGATCTCGAGCTTTGCGAACAGAAAAAAAACCGGCTTTCAAAATATATATTAGTATATATATGAAAAAAGTGCAGCCTTAGGACTACTTAAATTAGTAATATCGCTGCCCCAAAAAGCAAAGACTCGTATTCACCTATGATTTTGTGAGAAGGACTCCTTAAATCCTCCGATGATAACCAAGACGGAGTGTTTTCGGAGTGATCCGATAATATACCGGTAAGGAGGCTTTACGGTTTTTCAAAATGTTCTTAATTTTATTTATCCTTACTAATATTATGAATCCCAAAGTGAGTTTGTTGGTTTATTACGCTTTCATGCTTTAACTAGCCAACCGATAATCATGCAATTTAGTCCTCTGGTGTCATTTAGCCCAATTTAAAATATAGGATGTATTTAATCTCGATTGTATCATACAGTATATCGCAAGAAATATTTGGGATAAAGTACTGGAACTTGGTATGAAGATATGTAAAATCAATTCCACACTCATGGAGGAGGGCTGCCAACTGTATAAAAAATCAAACTCAACTCGAATTAGCGGAATTATATTTATATAATTTTTTTGCGAAAATTATATTACAAGGATTGCCACCCGATTAAAAATTAAATTCAACCGAAAAGTTTTTGAAAAGGGTTTTAGTTCTGAACTGCATGGTGGACGGTTGCCACCTGTTTTAGAAATCAAATTCTACTTGAATAAAGGGAATATGTATCGCGATATGGATGTCAGACCAACGGAGTTTACGAAGGTTTTAGTTGGAAAATGTTTTGGAGAGGGTTGCCACCTGTTTTAAAAGTCGAATGTTAATTAATTATACTCAAATTAAAGTGTCAAACGTAAGAGTGTTTAGAAATGTTCAGCTAAAGAAAATCAACATGTGAACGCTTGTTTGAGTTACTGTGTAAATTCTTGTACAAATATTAATATTGCTTACACAGCTCAATTCTTAAATTAAATTCAGCCGTACCATAGCTACGACCTTTTAATAAAAATCTATTTGGTTTTTCACACGTGCTTGGTTATCAGGTTATCTGGCTAAAAATTATTATTCTGTAGTGTATTTTATTGTTGTAAACTGAATAAAAAATATAACCTGATAACCTGATAACCAGGCAAGTGTGACCAACCTCTATTTATTTTATAAAAATCAAATTTTCGGCTCATAAATTTTTTAAAATACAAAACTGAGAAATCCAGCGTTATTATATAGTAAAATATCGTGGAATTTGTATCTTTCGTAAATACCAATACATGGCAGGTCAGCGTGGTTATTGTCCGATGTCAACAAGTTGCAAAGAATGCTTAAATGGGGCTAACAGTAATAAGTGTACAAAGTTTGGATGAAATCGGCTCGGCACGTACACATATTTTCTCATAAGTGCGCTTGACCACGCCCATTTAAAAAAAAATTAAATATTACATTTTTTGCTTAAAGTTGACTCCATATATCTCTTTTTAATAATTTGGCTGCAGTAGTTATTTAAGTAACAGTTTTCACTTTTTTTTCAAAGATACCGTTATGTGGAAGGCAAGCGCTGTTTTCATCCGATTTCACCCATTTCCATTACTAAATAACCTAGCCTGGGCAAAGAAAACCAAGTGTACCAAAATTGCGAAATGTCTATTAGTTTCCGAGAAAACGAGTTTTGACCGTTGCTCCATTCCACTGAACCACTGTGCGCTGGTTAGGTAAAGCGCTAGACTTTTATAAAAAATATAAACAAAAAGTCATTTGACTTAATCAGCTGACCACGAGGGTACATACGTACATACGACTTAGGTTTTAATTTCGCCTCAGACAGTTATGTATTTTAACACACATTTTTTTGGTTTTGGCTATTAAATTATGGGAACGATTCACATATTCACATGGAATTTGTGATAAGGCTGAATATGAATAACGTGTCATATGGAATTAAGAAAAAGTACTAGTTTTTCTTTTTTAATAGTTTTTATGCAAGAAAGTTCATTTCTTCTACGAAATTAACAGACAGTTTCAGCAGCATTTTAAATGGAAAATGAGTTTTTATTTTTTTTTTATTCACTTAAATTGCTTTCGTGAAATTGGCTGTAAATTTTTATAATTTATCCTTATTAATAAACTTTAAGAATATTAACATAAAATCAATAAGAATCTATGGAATTTTCATAATTTATTCGTTTTATCTCTTGCACTAGACATTTTTCATATATGTAGGCAATCTTGTAATATGCCGAAGTGTCGGAGATAACTAGCTGAAATAATATTGTGAACTCATAATTACTTTAAAAATGTTTTAAACGAAAATATTTTTATTTATGTGAATCGTTCTGGTGGTTTGATTTACATATACATAGATATGTATGTATGTATGTGTGTATGTGTGTGCATATGTAAATAACTAAGTAATATTAAAAATTAAATTCTTTCTTCTATGTATATAGCTGCCTATTTCTATGTGGGCAACACGCCGAAACCCAGCAACGATGGAGCACAACGTCTGCGAGATGAACGTGGCGGGGACAGTGCGCTCACTCGACGATATCGTAATAAAGATGTAACACTTTCCTTGCCCGATGGTAAAACTTTGAGAGACATCAAATGGTTTTCGGTTTGGTGCGACGAGTTTGCCGTTAATTTTGGTGATGTTTCCGTACCAAGTGATTTGGACTTTCCTAGGCCGCAAAAAATTGCAGCTCTCAAAGGAGTGCATGGTGTATCCTCGGACAGCATCGTAATTGTGGATGCACAAACTCTTTTAATACCAAATTTTAGTTACGATGGAGAGGCACCAGGTGAGCCGTAAAATTTATTCTAAGTTAAATAAACACGATTTACATACCAGTGTTGAATTTGAAAAAGCACTAACAGTAAAAATTGTTTTTATTTAGAAAAGAGCAAAGTAAAGTAAACTCAAAGTTTTTTTAGATCAAAAGTAAAACAAATAAAAAAGAAAAATTGTTGCATTTTTTTTGTACTTTATTCGGATTTGCGTAGTGCTTAGGGATGAGTGAATTCGGAGCTTCGAGATTCGATTTTTATCGAGTTTAAGCTCCATATTCGATTTCCATCAGGCATAAAAGAAAAAATTATGGTATAAATTGTCAAACTTCATTTAATTTGTGAACGGCCCAACCTATAGAAAACTTTTAAGTGTCAAACATCCGTTTATTCAAATCAAATTTAATGGTTTCCATTAAAATGGAAAAGGCCTTTTATACAGAGTTCAAGATTTGTATGAAATAAAAGAAACCGGTTTTTCGAACAAAAAAAAATAAGATTTCAAAAACCCCCTATAGATATACAAGAAACCGATGGAAACCGGTTTGGATAAACCGAGTCAATCGCCCTACTTTCTAATATCAGGTTAATGATGTATATCAGTGATTCCCAAGGTGGTCCAGGTGGACACCCAGGGGTTCACGGGAGACTCGACAGGGGTCCACGTTAACGTAAAAAAATTATGGGGGTCCACGAGTTGTAAGTGGGGGTCCACGAAAATGTATCTGGTTTCTATAGTAAAGAACAAAAATGGCTGCTTGATAGCAAATTTATTTAACTTAAATTTTTTTAATGTTGTATAGTGCCCTTGACGCACTGGTGAACTTACCGTCACTTTGTGCCATGATTTTGTTCCAGCACTGAGCCCGCACTCGTACATTGTCGAATCTTCACTGATGGCTACAAAACTGTCTCGAGTCAGGATCTGGAGTATTTTTCAAAGTTAATGGGGATAAGCTTCACTTTTTCTCTTGGCGAATATGCTTCGGCCTTCCAGGCTGTGGTATTTGGAATCCCCAAAGCCATAGACTACGTGGTGGAAAACAGGTGGAGGGGAAGGAGTTTACGTGTCTGCAGGTACAGCCAAGCTGCACTTAAGGCCGGCCCTCTATCTAAGTACTTTCAAACCAGTTCGGCAATACAAGTCTAGACTAAATTATGTTGGTAAAGATAACGAACTTGCTTTACTCTGGGTGCCGGGCAACTCGGGAGTGCCTGGAAATTACATCTGACCTTTTGGCCACAGTTGACTTAGGCCAGGCATTCTTCGGTCCGCAACCAGTCATAACATTCCCCACTTCGACCATCGAAGCCACCATCAGAAACTGGGTGGATACTTCGCTCAGCAATGACTGGGTGCCATCGACTGGATGCAGGTGGGCAAAACTCATGTTGCCTTTAATCTCAGAAGGTCTATCTAGTTGTTTCCTCTCACTGAGAAGACGGGACTGCTGACTGGTCACTTCACGTAGCACAAACACCTGACTGTAATAGGCGTAAATGACAACTGCATTTGCCTATCCTGCTTTGAAGAGGATGAGACGGTGGAACACTTCTTGAGCTTCTTTCTTGCTTGGTTGTTTATCATCGATTTATCTAAATTCAGTATTTTCTTTTTTATCAGTGTTTGAATTTGAAGTTTGGCGTAAAAAGCTTTGCAGTTTTTTTGTTTCAAGTTTTGTGCTTTAAAAATGCGAGTGACCAACATTTTTTGCATCACTTTAAAACTCGGAACGGGACCGAGAGGGACCACCTCTGAGACACTACCTTTCCGATCGGTTGACGTGGTCCAAAGTTATGCGGTAACATACATAAAAAAAATCAAAATATTCCGACGAACTGATAACCTCCTCCTTTTTTGGAAGTCGGTTAAAAAATGATGCCATCAAAACAAATAAACTATTTGACAAATGCATAAGATGCAATTTCATAAGTGAGGAGTTTATTTAGTGCTCTTAAAAAATATAACTCCTCAGAGCGAGATAGTTCTTTCATGGCTTTACGAGCTCTATTTTTAAAACTTGCAAGTGTGTAATAACATTATTTTAATAAATAGAACACAAGAACATATTTTACTTTTATTTTTGCCACTCTGAATTTAGTTTTGGCACTTACCCGCGATGCAAAATTAAATCGTTAGATTTAATCTTCACATTTTTTTATGAGCTCTGGGAATAATTAGAAATGAGCATCAGGGGGTCCACCGAAGCCAGTAAAGTTAAGAAAGACGACAAAAGTAATTTTGGGAACCTCTGACGATATACGTCAACTGAAATGCAAAAATAAACATAGCAACATCGTAAATGAAATGGGAAAAGTCGTGACTAATATTTTTTATTTTTTTCATAAAATGATGTAGGAGTTGTAATTCGATGAAATCCATGATAAAAATATAGTAAGGTATAACCGCTGAGAGTCACTTTTAAAATTCTTGACGTTTCCAAACAATTTAATTTTTAAATTTACTCACAAACTCACACACACATTTTCATTTTCAATCTCAAGCAACAACAATTTCGAACAATTTCAATTTTTCATTTTCACTTTTATTGATTTTAAAATGTTGGCAAACTTCAAAAAAAAATCATGGCCGACAAATTGAGAGAACGGTTCTACCTTGCTATGTTTTTATCATGGATGAAATCCATCTTATCAATCAAAAACTTATATTTTGAATTTTTCATTAGTTTCAACTTTTTGTATTTAAGCGACGATGTTTTTAACGTCCTTTTGCATTTCAGGTGACAATATATTAATGTATATTAAAGGCCACGAGAGGGTTTTTTTCCACTAAAATATATAACCCAGTGCTACAAAGGAATAAAGGAGAAATACCTGGGAAGTTATGTATATTTTCTGGTAGGTATTTTCGAGTAAAACCAGAATCGAAATATGAAATTTGTCAAACAACCCCCTAAATCTTGATTTACCTTTAAAACCCGGTATTTCGTACTTTTGCGCCCTTATAAGCCTGTAACTTAGTTGTACAGTAGTTAGTAGGAGAAACTTGGATCTTTCTAAGGATATATATGCGAATAAAGAAACCTTATGAGATCTGTGTGTATTTAACGTTTCGGAGGAAAAAAATAAAATAAAAATAATTTCAGAATATTGCTGGTCACTACAACAAGAAACTGATGATGCTGAATTAAGAAAAAACAGTGAAGAAAACCTTTTTTGAAGAGTATAAATAGTCAAAAATAATATTTTTGCAAAAATTTGGTTTTCATAAAAAGCTTAATAACTCGGTAAAATTTCATCCGCTGTTTTTAAATAAACACTCGTTTTTTTTCGATATTAAAATTTAGTTTAACAATCAATTTAGGACTCGTATGGTTTTNTTATGTATATTTTCTGGTAGGTATTTTCGAGTAAAACCAGAATCGAAATATGAAATTTGTCAAACAACCCCCTAAATCTTGATTTACCTTTAAAACCCGGTATTTCGTACTTTTGCGTCCTTATAAGCCTGTAACTTAGTTGTACAGTAGTTAGTAGGAGAAACTTGGACCTTTCTAAGGATATATATGCGAATAAAGAAACCTTATGAGATCTGTGTGTATTTAACGTTTCGGAGGAAAAAAATAAAATTAAAATAATTTCAGAATATTGCTGGTCACTACAACAAGAAACTGATGATGCTGAATTAAGAAAAAACAGTGAAGAAAACCTTTTTTGAAGAGTATAAATAGTCAAAAATAATATTTTTGCAAAAATTTGGTTTTCATAAAAAGCTTAATAACTCGGTAAAATTTCATCCGCTGTTTTTAAATAAACACTCGTTTTTTTTCGATATTAAAATTTAGTTTAACAATCAATTTAGGACTCGTATGGTTTTCTTATAAAATAGTGCGTAAAAACTCCACCAAAATTTAAAAAGTCGAAAAGTAAAAATGCGTTTGGTGGGTAAATATACATAGATCTCTTAAGGTTTCTTTATTCGCGTATTAATCGTTCGAAAGGCCCCAGTTTCCCCTTTAAAATACAAACAGATCCCTTAAAGCTTCTGTATTCGCATATATTTATATCGTTCGAAAGGATCAAGGTTCTTCTTATTAAACCCGGCAATAAACTGAAACTCGTTTACTCGTTACTGGCTTATAGTATGTGCGCAAAAGTACGAAAAAACGGTTTTCTAAAGGTAAATCAAGATTTTGGGGGTGTTTGGCAAATTGCATATTTCGATACTTGTTCTACTCGAAAAGACCTACCAGAAAATATACATAACTTCCCAGGGGGAGCACTCCATAATCCCGACTTTGAAGATCCCGACTAGACATAGTCCGGACAATTTTTAAAAATCCAGACAATACAAAATCAAGACAGGACATAATACAGACATAACAAAATCCCGACCAAATAAAATACAGATAACACATTATTCAGACAAGACAAAATCCCGACAACTCAAAATTCCGACAAGACACAATCCAGACAAAAAAAATTACAATGCGTCCGGAAATGAAATTGATGACTTATGCCTAAATATAAACGGTTACCACTCCAAATTTTTTCGCTTCTTCACTGCAAGGAGTCTAACCCTCTCGGCAACCACTTTACCACAAGGACGAAAGCTGCGTATTCTCGTCGATGGTAAACTAATTCCAACGGTGAATAACCGGAAAATTGTCAAATCTAGCTCTCGTTCCCGGCGCATACAACCGAAATTGCCAACAAAGTACAGAGCCGTAGTCCTCAATTCGGCAGTACTTGGCCAAAGACAAAGAAACGGTGTTGCAAACATACAAAGCCGTCCGGTTCTAAATTATGCAGCGCCTGTGTGCTCGCAGGGGACAATTGGTTCGCAGTGGACGAAACTAAAGACATGCCACAATGCAACACCCTGGACAACCAGAGGATGTCTTCTGATGTCGCCAGAACATCACATCCACAGTGAAGCTGAAATTCTCCCAGTAAGGTGCTACAGTTGTCAGCACTCGAACTTGCTTTAGCTGAAGGACCAGGTCAAGCACTACGCACAGCACCCCTGGGACTGGGACTATACAGACAGGTTATTAACGGTATTTGCAAACTCCAGTCAAGTGAATGCCATCATCAGTGCCAATCACCACCTGTGAACGACAGTGAGCTTCAACTGCCACGAGATACCCGCGTAACTCTGGCCCAACTCGCCTCCCAACATCGAAAATGAGTGTCCAGTATGTGGAGATTCCCCCCTTGACACCAACCACCTCTTCACATGCTCACTCAATCTAACTCAACTAACATCCCCTCTCTCCCTCTGGTTCTACCTCATCGAAATATTAAACCTCCTGGGCCTACCGTTAGTTGAGCCTGCGGACAATTACGGGCTAAGTAATCCCTTACAACAATAACAACAACTGTGTCGTTTATACATTATTTTTGAGCGAAAACAGAAGAGAATTATGACAAAAATCCCGACAAAATATAAAAATAATTAAAAAATCGCGCGACTTTTTAATTATTTTTATATTTTGTCGGGATTTCATGTCTGAATTGTGTCTTGTCGGGATTATGTATGGTCGGGATTTGGTCGTGTCTGGATTATGTCTGGTCGGGATTTGGTCGTGTCTGGATTATGTCTGGTCGGAATTTGGTCGTGTCTGGATAATGTCTTTCGGGATTCTGTATTTCGGTATTTTGTATATCGGGATTTCATTATACACCCCTTCCCAGGTATTTTTGGTGTCGCTCAGTGTAATCTAACCAAGTTTGCAGTCATTTCTATGAGGCACGGTGCACATTAGAGCGATACGATACGAAAGCGACATCGACATGCTGAGTACGTACGAGTATTGGTAAGAGCGATGAAAACTGTGCACACTTGCATGACAGCGGCACTGCTGCGACAGAATATCGCTTGCGTATCGGCCGTGCGGCAGGGTTTGCTATCACACCGCATATGGTATCGCGTGTCGTATCGTAGTGGTCTGAAACTATCGATGGCACTACCCTGGCGGAAGCAAGGGATTTCTTTTTTAAATCAACTAATTGAAAGACTACTTTAAAACAGATGTAATGGGAAACGTTTCGAATTTTGATACTGCTTTTGTTCAAAGAAACAATTTGTGTCTTGGAAGTATGAATGTCATATGTGAAGTGCAGAACGCAAGCGTATTCAAAGGAAATATGCTGACTTTGAAGTTGTTTAAGCCAAATTCATTTTAAAGTAGTTGAAAATACATGCAGGAAAAGGCAAATGACTGCTTCCTAGGACATCGCCATGTTAAATAAATGAGTTAGTTGCAGATAAAATATTGAGAATTGCAATTAGTTATCATTGAAAATAAAGTACTTTATAAATTACTTTAAAACTAACTCAATTTCCTGCAGGGTATCGACACTATCGATGGTTTTCGACTATCGTACCAACATCTTACATTATTGTTTTATCGCTTATTGTCACTTTGCATGCGCATTTGACACAACCTGGCAGCACCTTTTAATAAAAGATAGTTCGGCAGCGTTTTTTTACCAGCATTAGTAGTAGTAATGCAGATTTACGGCCGCGAGCTCATAACTTAGAATCGTACGGCCAGTAAAATATTAATTTAATTTTCTTTTTTCATTCAGTTATAACTTCTATATTTTTTAACGTTGCGGATGAAATGTTTGGCTGCTTTGTTTGCTCAGGGAGCGTAGAACACAAAGAAAATGCAAAATTACAATGGACATCCACCTTTTCGTCGGTAATGCAGTCACCATATAAATTTAAATATGATCTTATTCAATTTTAAATGGATTCCTATCTGAATTAGTACGGCGACTGCATTACCGATGAAAAGTGTTCATGCTAGTTTTGCACTTTCTCTTTATTCTACGCTCACTGAGTTTTGGTCAGTGTTGTCATCGCATATTCCTCTGATCTGACAAAATAACGTAAAAGATATTATTTCAAAAATTTCTTTTTGATGCAGAAATGAATCTAGATGTTCTAGGAATATTTCTGCATCAAAAATAAAATTTTGAAGAAAAACTGTGGCTTACGTAATTTTGGCGGTTAGGGCTCGATATATTGCAGGAAGTTACAGGAAAAATGTTCCCGTACTCCAAAATCCTGTAAAGGAGAACGATTTTTGGAGAGTTGTGTAGAGAATGAAGTTGCAAGATTTTACCCGAATTTTTTCTTCTGGTAAAATCATGAAAAGTGTCAAGCCAACGGCGGTTTGACGTTTTTACAGGAAAATGCTTTTTAGTTCCCGTACTTTTTGGTTGTTATTCACTTTGTACTCTCACTTCAGAGAGAAATTTAGCTGTTTGACATTTGTACAGGATTTTACACGAAAATTATTGTATCAGAGCTAATGCGTTGATGTGATTTTTTGATCGCCTCCAAAGGCTTTATCTGAAACAGATGATGCTTTAGACCACGATGATTGTGGTACCAATTTTTCAGAAGCCCAAAACCAATTACGTAGTAGTATGTTGTACAATTTGTTTTAATAGATCAAGAGAAGTTATTTAAGTCCTGCAACCATTTTGAATTTCGCTCATATAGCTTTGCAGAGCACAGCAAGAGAGCAATTCTAAAGAGTAATACAAATATTTTGTGCCTAATTTGCCGTCAAATTGTTCGATTGCCGATAAAAGTCATGTTTAACTTGTTCATGTGCTATTTTTTTTGCAAAGTGTTTGACCGTGCCTCTCCTCCGATTTGTGGTGTGCGTCCTTATGTTATAACGAAATTAGAGGGGCCTTCAATTTTACGGCATCTCCGAACGGCAAATGGTTTTAGGTATGGTTAGATTTTTCAAGGCAGAAATGCTCTCTGAAGTTTGCCACTAATTTCTATGTTGCTCTGGAAATGGACTGAGCCCGAGTCCTACGGATTGGTAGTAAAATTGGTAAAATTTTGTTATGAGGAAAGTAAATAAATCTTTAGTGAATTTAAAGCGCTAATATAAGATGATACAATCGCGCTTATTTATGTATAGCGAGGTCCTATATAAATTTTTTGTCAGAATAAAAAAACTACTAAGAAAATCGAAGTTCTTTTGTAGCGAATTTTTTTCAAACTGCGTTTTTGTTAACTTTTGTGGTTATGTAATTTAATGCTCTATAAGGCAATTTACCGACTTTTGTGCGCAACTGGAATTTGAAAGAAAATTAATAGTTAGGCTTATTTTCTACAAAGGTAACGACATGTATTTATTTAGAATATCCATCCATACATACAATGTTCATGTTTTATTCTAAAAATTAGATACAGACTCGTATAAGTAATAATTATTTATCAAATATCAATTTGCAGATGCGAAATTCTGGGTAGGTCGCGGACAGCGGCCCAGTCCTCAAGGTCTTCGAATACCCGACGAAAATGGCAAAGAAAATCCACTTCGTCGATACGATCGAAAAACTATTGTGCTCACCCTACCTGACGATTTGACTATTTTCGACATAGGACACTTTGGAGTATGGTGTGAGGCTTTCACTGTCGACTTTGGCCATGTTCGTATACCCGAAGGATTGAACGTGCCACCGTCTCTGAAAATGCTTGGCATTAGCCCCCAGGTAAAAAAGCGCGTGCATGCTTTACGCTTAACTGTATAAGAAGATAGAAGGAAAAACAGTGTTGCTGCATTGCGCACTGCTTAATGTAAAGTCTTTTCTCTTCGCTTCGTTTACATTTTATTTAAAGAAATAAAGATTCATGGCCCCAGAAAATGATTCTTTCAGAGCTAGCTGAAGTGAAAGTTTCCTTATGAAGACTACTAGCTGCCCTATTAACGCATAGGGCTTCGTGGCGAAGCTTAAATTCATGCATGGATTTAATGTGATTATTAGGGCAACCAAAAATATGCAGTAAAACATGATTTTAAACGCTTAAAAAATGCACGATGAAAAAAGAAACATGCATAAATATGCACGAATAATATTAAAAACATGCTTAAAATATGAATTTAAAAAAATAAATAGCTCAAAGTTTTTTGTGTAAAAATCTATTGAATTGTGTTCAAAATGTACAAAAACACTGGTAAAAGTAAAATATTACACATTCAGACGTATTCACTTACATATGTATGTATAGAAATAAAAATGCAAATTTAACTTAAATATTTTTGTTCCAATAAATATTCGGATACATTTTCAGAAAGACATAATTGCCTGTTATCACGGAATACATTCCTAAACATGCAAAAGGCACAAACTCAAAGGTAGAAATTTCAGTCACTGAATATTTTTCAATCGGATGAATTGAATTACCGGATTCAATTAGGCCTATATAATTTTTTAATAAAGCAAAGCCCTGTGTTTTTGCTAAAAACTGAGTCGATAAAGTCTATGCTGTTGCTTCTAGTGGCCAAAAATTGTATTTAAAAAATAAGCACAAATCTACATAGAAATTGTTTCGACGTTAATTCAAAATTTTAACGGTAACCGCGCACAAGCGCACGCAATGTTGTCCTCAGAAATCCCTCAAAAGCTGTTTACACAGGTAACTAGTGGAAGAAAAATTAGAGATTTTATTTCGACACAATTCTGATTTCCATTTGCTTAATTTTGTTACCGGTGAAACACAATATCGACGAACAGTAGTGCGACGACGGTGGCAACTTTCGTCAAAAAATTTCCCTCAGTAAAACACAACTACGGCGACAACGAATTCTGCTGCTTATGACAAGGTACAATTAAAATTTTTACAAACAATAAGATCATTAATTTTCAACAAAAACTAATACAGTATTTTTCAATTTCGATTTAAAAACTTGAGATTATTGAGCATATGGCCACAATGGATCGTATTTTGCCACTGCCGCCAGCGACGACGATAGAAATAAGTCTAGCGTTGCGAACAGTCGTCTGACGAACGTCGTAGTTTGCTCATTTCTCATTGTGTTCTCATATACAACAATGTGTTTTAATTTTTACAGCGAACATTTGCGACGAAAAATTCGCCGTTCGTCGGCATTCTGTTTCAGCGGTTAAGAGCCCCATAAGCTAGGTAAAATTCTGACGTACGTATCCACCACGAGAAATGTCAAATTTTTAGTTTCATCTGTCAAAATTTTATATTTTCAATCAATCGGCACAGGCCCTTAGTGTAAAGCTTTATGCAAAATTTGACGAATTTTATAGGCCTTACGGGCTTGGGAATTTTTATTCACCTAATAAATAGTTGTCAAAAATCTACCATCCAGAGTAGTGTTCTATCAATTGGCACAGGCCCTATAATTAAAAAAATAATTTTTTTTTTAATATCACCAAATTTAGCATTTATTTCTAAAATATGCAAAAAAGAAAATCATTTATTGCGAAATATGCCGAAATATGCTCTAACAAATATGACTAAAACGATTTATTTTTTTACAATTAGCATTTCCTTTTTATGCATTTTGTGATACAGTATAAGAAAAAAAAACATGCTCGAGCATATTTTTTTGGTTGCCCTAGTGATTATGTATTTATCATAGTATAGTCTTTGGCAAATATTGGATGCAAGTACTTGGGCATTAGAGTTCTGTAGAAATTTATTCAAACACTAACAAATATATGTGTAAGCGCCAATCTATTATTATTATTATTATTATTATTATTATTATTATTATTATTTAACATAAAATACGAATTTGACTTTGAGTTTACTGGAATTGGAGAGAATACACAATAAAAGTACTCACGGATGCAAAACCCTGGGAAATTGTGCAATTTATGCCTTCGCAAATAAATTGGCCAAATTAGTTATTTTCACGAAAACAAAGAAAGTCATAATTCTCAAATTCGAGCCAAAAGGATCGAAGCATTTTCGGAACCAGTGGCCTGAAATTACCATAGAAAATAGGTGGCGTTCTTTGCGTGATTGGGTATCTTGTCACTCCAACTTTTATTTTCAAAATGTCGTTAGGGACAGGAATTTTTTGTTTCATCCCAAATTGTTGTGTTTCCCGTTCGTTTGCAACTATGTACAGGTTTTCTTAAAATCTAAAAATTCCAACAAGTCATTCAACTAATATAAGGTTTGTATAGTAGCTTCTCCAGTAAAACATTGCAGCCAGAGCGTAAAAGCAAAATAGAGCGTAAAATTAAGAAGAAGAGAAAACTAGCAGAAAAAGTTACTGAACGCAAAGCTAGTAAAAACTTGCAAGTGAATAGTTCTTGCACCCTTTTGATATTCTGCTGTGTAACATTTTACTATTTATAAATCAGTTTTAAACCCTTTGCTTTACACACAAGCACTTACACAGTCTAGTACATCATTAAAAATTTGATTTCCACTCATTTTACTTTTTGTGCTAAACTTTTTGTGCTAAACCAATTCAACAAATGGCGGCTTTTGACATTTATTCTTCTTCTTCTTCTGCTAGCTAATTTCTGCTAGTAAAAATTTCACTAGCAAGAATTTGCAGCTCTCCCGTGTTGTTACGCTCTCGATTCAGTGCTCTCTTGCAAATTTTTTGGGTTATCATACACTTTTCCAGTAAAAAATTGCAGGTTCCAGTACAAATTAGTACTGACTATTGGTTACTATACAAACCTATACTTACTGTCTTTTCACTAGTAGCTTTGAAAATTCATCTGTCCTTCAAGCACATTTTTCTTAACATAATTTGTTAACTGAGTACAATGGGATTCGCCTTTGACTTCTTATAAGAGCGGCTCGGGTAATACGATGCCATCCAAATCCTTGCAGTTGTTTGTAAGCAGAACGGAATCTCGGAGTGTAGTAGTGCAATATTTTGGTCAGTTTTGATTGCAGTATGCAGTTTTGTAGCCCCCAAGTTTCAAGTGGGTAAAAAATCCCGTTAATTTTTTTGGTTGAAGGTGTTTCGCATTTTTTCCATACATAGTATGATCGACAATTTTTTTTTATATGGAAGACACTATTGTTGCCTCTGGAACGAAAGAAATTTACAAAAAAAAACTCGCGCCGATTTCTAATTTTGCAACCTCAAAACAAACTTACCTCAATACCAACTTTATTTGTTAATGCGGGCCACGCACACAAAATTAAAATTTTTTGCAAAATGGTGGTTGTGAATCGTTCTTGAATCTGTATAGTGCAGTTTTAGTACAGTTTTGGCAATTTCAAAATGGGGGAATACCATTAGAAATCCAATATGCATAGGCCCCTATTATGAGTTACATTCGACCTTCGACTGTGGTCGAAAGTGCTGATGGAACGAATTTTCATTTGGTATTATGGCGCTCATTCGATGAAGACTAGCGCTATTGTGAATTTCGCTCGTTACGGTTGTTCACAATAGTATATTTTTCACCGCTGAGAAGCATTGTTTAAAAATCGAGCTAACTAAATAGTGTGCTTATATGTACATACATATGTACATATGTAAATTTGTGCAAATTAAAATGCAATAAAAAAGAAAGCGAGTTTATAAAAACGTGGTAAAAATTAGTACAACGGAGTTCTGGTTCAACGATTCGCCAGAGAATGAGAGCTTAGAAAACTGGCCAGGAGCAGAAAACGTTTAAGAGAGTTGAAGTGTAGTCTTTCGAATATATTTTGACATACAATATATTTAAGAAATTTTGACACCCAAATCTATTTAAAATAGGTTTGTTCCACAAGCTACTCGAAGTCACTTCGAGTTACACATACGCGTTTCACAAGTAAGTTTTAGAGTTTGTTTGATATACGCTGACAGTTTGAACTTTGCTCGAGTTTTTCTACAAGTAGCTTGGGGAACAAACCAAATTATTAAAACCATGATACAAAAATTTGAAGGTAATACCGCTGGGAGGCAACCTGAACATTTTTGAAGTTTGCTAACATAACAAAAATGTTTCCAAATTTTCAATCTCACAAATACATTCTCATTTTCAGTCTCAAATAAAAGAAAATTTGAATATTTTCATCTATTTGTTTTTTGTTTTACTTTTATTTGGCATTTGAGTTGCTCTCAAAATTTAAATTTTATAAAGTACACAAACTTCAAAAAATAAATGATGGCCGACGAATTGAGCGAGCGGTTTTACCTTTAAATATTTGTATCATGGCAAAAACATAACAAGGTAAAAACATTGAGATGCAGTCTGACGTTTGCCAGCAATATAATTTTAAAATTTAAAACTCAAACTCACACACACATTCCCATTTTCAATCTCAAACAACAACAATCGTGGACAATTTCATTTATTTATTTTCAATTACCTATGATTTTAAAATGCTGGCAGACGTCAGAAAAAAAATCATGGCCGACGAATTGAGAGAATGAATTTACCTTGTAATGTTCTTATCAAGGCGAATTAATATAAGGTGGTGTTACTAGCTCAGCTGATTGTGTGTATGTGTTTCGCCGCACAGCTTCTGATATCAAATTGAAAAAGTTTGTTTGAATTTCTACACACACTCTTATAGATTTTGACAGTTTATGCCGCCAAAGCAAAAACAAAATACATGTAAATTTTTGTTTTTGTACTCCTGCTATCACCTTATATTAATTCGCCTTTGTTTTTATCATGATTAAAACTATAAACAGCTCTATGATTTTTTTACCAGAGATCGTGCCTACAGAGCAGGGTTGTTGCGAATATTATTCCGCAATAAAAGTCCATTCCGGATAATAAACCAACCGCTCATCCAAATTAAACAAGTTTGGTATCAAATGAAAGAGGACTTACATAGCTTTAAAACGGAAATGTCTAAACGAGGAAAGCCACATATTGAAAAGTATTTCAATAAAAAATGTTAATTAATTACCAAAGAACAAACCTTGTGCCAGTTATATGAATTTCTTTAGTATTAAATTATAAAAGAATATAAATAGAGGTCGTTCGTTATTTCTGTTTAAAAGCTATTTCAGTCCTCTTTCATATGATACCAAATTTGTTTAATTTGGACAGGCGGTTTGTTTATTATCCGGAAAGGACTTTTATTTCGGAATAATATTCGCAACAACCCTGCTACAGAGTATTGGGATTCTCTTTCATAAGTAAAGCCAGCCTTTTGAACGTGTTTTTTTAGTATTCACGAAGTTAGAACTGTATGAAATTAATAAAAATTCTTTAAAATCCGTGTCTAGTCGCCAAAAAGTAAGAAATTAAATGCAAAATCATACATTTTTCAAATTTTTCTAACACTTCACTATACCAACGAAATCAAATTTCTGTTCGACAGAAAATTCGATACTCAACGAAAATTTCGGCACGCTTGCATAGGTCATAATACGAATTTCTCTTTCGATCTCCGATAGCCAACGATCGAGATCGAAAATCGAATGCAACTCATAATAAGGGCCATAGACTTAGTATTTCAGCCGAAATACCTTAGAAGTCTTACAATTTTATTTGTAGGCATTTATCAAGCATTGTCATTATTCTGTTTAGGCGCCTTAAAGCAAGGACCGCAATCGTTCTGATGATTGATTTAACGGTGATAATTTAACTTTGATCCTTGGTGTCTCCGATTGACTTCACTTGACGATTTTTACCAATAACTCGACTCCAGCGCCACCTTGCAGCTTTTTTTGTGCAATAGTAGATATCGCCCCTACCTGGCTACGCCCATGTGCATGGTGTAAATAGTTTTTGTTTAATACTATTAGAAGAATTAGTAAAAATACATACGTACATACATACTACGTATGTACATATGTATGTATTTATTACATGCAGAGATTGCCACAATTCCGGTAATTTTTTGCAACATCACAATTCACATCATGCTTAATGGCTATCGTACTCAATGCTTTCGTTTTTGGGCTTTTCTACCGAATGTGGTACATAGTTGTTTTGCTCTTGATATCTTACTTAGTTTGAATGAGTTTTTGGTAGGTCTTGGTCGTGTTAGGAAATGAAAATACAGACTTGCACACTTGTACAAGTGCATATATACATATTTCAAAAGTAAATATCCTAAAAACTATGTACTATGCACAAATGAGCTTTAAAATTTTGAGATTTTATGACTCATTTTAGGTGAACATCAGATTATTTGGAAATTATTTCTTGGCTATTGTTTTAATTGTGTTCTTAATTTTTGTTACGCATTTTCACGCTCATTTGGGCATTCTTTGTATATTACTGGAAATAGAATGGAATACAAATGTTAATCAATCTTCGCCAATTTGAAATCAATTTATTTTCATTTCAAATAATTTTAAATTATTTAAGTAATCAGCATTCGACATTTAAGAAAATATGCGATATGAAAATGAACATCGATATGTGTTTAAATTAATCATCTTAAATTGCCCGTAAGAGTTTATATCGACCTAGTCTTCGCAGGGATGCCGACGTTCAGAACTAGAACTTAGATTGCTACAAAATTAACTGGATATGTCTATGACATTTAACATATTTTCCGCTGGTCGACAAGCAAAATCTACTTGCTTGCTGCATCTTTAACTTTGTTCCATTTAAGTGGGAAGTTTGGAATCTGTAGGCAATACATACATATCGTTTCTTTTAACAAAATCTAATTCGACAGAATCAATTACCTTTTGAAGCATTTCAAGAATACAGATTTTAAAATAAGTTTCTAGTATTTATAAATATATTGATTTAAATCAACTTTATAAACTAAGTTGTTAAAAGTTTATACACTTATGTATTTAACAAAAAAAGAACGCATTTTTTTCAAAGTTATGCACAAATTCTTTTGTGAACATCAGCTACTAACACATATTTATGTAACTACATAAATTTAAATACCTATACATTCATATGTATGTAAGTGCAACTGTATATTTATTACAAAATGTTAGCTTAAGAGACAGATAAACATATTGGTTTTGCTGAAGTCAATCGTAAATTCGGCAGAGAGAAATTAGAGATAGAGAGGTAAAAAGGGTAACTCCTTTGCTCGATTTGGAAACGCTGTGGAAAGAAAACTACTGTTAATAATTTAGGACATTATATATATATATCGAGCCCTAACCGCCAAAATAATGTAAGCGACATTATTTTCAAAATTTTCCTTTTGATGCAGAAATGCATCTAGATTCTCTAGGAATATTTCTGCATCCAAAAGAAAATTTTGAAAAAAAGGTCGCTTACGTTATTTTGGCGGTTAGGGCTCGATATATGTACATATGTATGTATGTATGTATGATCCATACCCATATTTGAATTGGAAAACCATTAGGGGTACTCACGATCCGGTGCATACGGTGCATAGATAGCATAAATAGCATGATTGGATAATTTTGTTGTTTTTTCATGTCTTCAAACAACAACAACATTAGCCAATCATGCTATCTATGCACCATGCTAGACAGTATGCACCGGATTGTGAATACCTCTATTAATTGCTTTTGTGCATTATTAGATACATATACACATACATAGATACAAATGTACATGCTATAATTAATTATTTAGAATTTTATTTCAAAATAAAAAACTAACAACTTTTATTTAAGGAATCGCGCGCTTCCTTTTAAAATTTTGTATTGCGCTAATTTTTATTTATGTAGAGCAATATGTATGCTGGAATGGAAATTGTATATATATGCATATGTATGTATCTATATATGCATATTTGTAAGTCAGTTATATAAATATATTTTTATATTCCATACAAACGTGAAAACTGTGTTTTGAATGATTTTTTTAATTTTTTGAAAATACAAAATGAAATGTGTACAGAACCAAGAGAAGTACGAAATAAATATGTACATATGTACATACATACATACGAGTAGATCAGAATAAGTTTAATTTTTCAAATAAGTAATACCCAAAACTCATAAAAATGTTACGTGCATATGTATAAGTCTGCATCCATTTTTGTTGCAAAAGCCATTGCTTCATTCATCTTACTAACAATTAAAGAGTCTAGTTAAATTGTATACATACTTAGTTCAGTTCAAAATTATACAGCATATTCATTTTGTATGTTCATGCATCAAGAAATTATAAAGTTGTTCAAAAACACACAATTTTAAGAAGTAATATTTGGTACTCCTACACCCCGCTTCACTTATACAAGAACCTAGCTTCATTTGGCCAGAATATGGCTTATATAGTTCGCTCTTATGCGGATTTTAATAAAACAATACGGACAATGCACTTCCAAATTGTATTCACTGGAATAGGCACAGTGCTCATAGCAAACAAAGAACACAGAAAAACTAAGAAGATGCACAATTTCTCCAGCTTACATATTTACCTCTTCCTCGCAGGAGATTCGCGATGCTTATTCAAATAAAAATCAATTTAATTTTCTATACATATGTTTTGCATTAAATTATTATTCGAATAGTACAACCAAGTTTTTTCTATGTTCTTTGTAGCAAACTTAATAAAATTGTACTTGCTACCAGCATAACTTTTGGGATATAATATTTGGCTAATGAAATCCAGAACTATTCAAAATTTCTTTGTAATTGTGGTATAGCCCTATGGCTAAAGATTTTAGAGTACCATATTCGAAATGGCTCCATTTGTCTTCCAGCAGCGGCGAAGTCGTTTTGGCCACTCACCGCTTGCAGTGCGCACCGAACGCATTGGCTCAACAACACCTCGATGTCGAGTGCACTTAGGTATTTTTTCAATGCGATACATGCGTTGAAAGCCGGATAAAAAACAACCTTATCAGTTTAATTGTAATGGGTGTAAATTCATGTACCAAAACATTTGCTGGTACAAAGTTGTATTGAGCGTTTAAAATGCCATTTCCAGTATCACAGAGTAAATATGGTCCAAACTGGCGCCGTTGTTTATGCAGATCCAAGATTTTTCCGGCGAGCTATTGCGAATACAATGAAACCGAAGTGTGAATAGCCCTGACCCAGCATCGTATGGAAAAAACACGGAATAGAGCTATAACAAATCGGCTGCACGGAAATTGGAAAGAGGTCGATTGTGAGATCTGGTTACGGCTTTATATCGTTGTCAAATTAACCGTCTAAATGGACTTAGCAACTTTTCACTTTCAGCCAGCGACATGTTAAATATAGATTTGGAAACAGAATCAATTTTAATAAACTTTGAGTAACTTATATTATACGTATATTCTTTTTTAATTACGTGAAATTTGTACATAAAAGTGTGCAGCAGTTTGTTTGAATTTATTTAAAACGGGAACATACCTTTTTGTCAAAAGCCTACAAAACGCTTTCAAATACAACATTTGCTTATTTGAAACTTTGAGGCGCTTAAAGCAGTAAAGCAAAGCTCCCATTTGGCCACCCCTCATACGTTTTAGTATATTCCAAATGACATTTGACAGTTCTCAAAGCGAAGTAAGCAAAGCAAGTCTGCATTGGGCCAGTGCCTTAAAATTTTATAAGCCTTGTAGCTGCATACCAAAAATTTTATAAAAATTCTGATTAAAAATTTCAAAATTTTGATAACAATTTTTGGAATTTTTCCAAATTCTGTATAAAGTTTGATTTATATGGTTTTTCAAAGCATGAATCATATTTTTATAAAAAATAACCACAAAATTTTAGCTTGAAAAACATTGTAATATTAAAAACAAAACACAATTCATCCACTTTTGACCGCCAGGTATGTACATACATGCTTTAATTTTCTTTTACATTTTCCAGTCAAGATTGAATTGTGAAGTTCTTTATGACGATTTAGCATTTGAAGTGAGGTGGGCCGTAGCCGGTGACAGCATTGTAATACAACTTATAGCCAAATTGGGTAAGTGGTAGGATAGTCATTTAAATATTTATTACCGAAAGAGATTTGAAATATTAAATCCTGTAAGCAGATATTTATTTGTAAACGTATATGTATGTACATATGTATCTCACCAAGAAAATTGATTCCCCTTCCCCAAACAAACCTAAAAGAAATAAAGTTTTGGCGAAGCCGAAACTCACAAACCCGTTTCAAGTATTCTTAACCAGTAATTGACACACAGGGTCCAGTGGACCCTAGAGCAATTTTGCGGCAATATATTTTATAAAAAAAAATTTTCAAATCGACTTCGTGACTTCACTTCTTATTTTTGGCGCTGTAACCGCCTAAGCGATTTTGGCCGAGTTCAGCAAAGCACGCCAGTCGTTTCTCCTCTGTGCCAACTGACGCCAATTGGAAACGCCAAGTGAAGCCAAGTCCTTCTCCACCTGATCTTTCCATCGCAGTGGGGGCCTCCCTCTTCCTCTGCTACCACCAGCGGGTTCCGAGTTGAATACTTTCAGAGCTGGAGCGTCGGTGTCCATTCGAACGACATGACCAAGCCAGCGGAGCCGCTGTATTTTAATTCGCTGCACTATGTCCATATCGTTGTAAAGCTCATACAGCTCATCGTTCCATCGTCTGCGGTACTCGCCGTCGCCAACGCGTAAAGGACCGTAAATCTTCCGCAAAATCTTTCTCTCAAACACCCCAAGAGCCGCCTCATCGGATGTTGTCATTGTCCATGCTTCTGCGCCATATACCAGCACGGGCATGATGAGTGACTTATAGAGCGTGGTTTTCGTACGTCGAGAGAGGACTTTACTCCTGAATTGCCTACTCAGTCCAAAGTAGCACTTGTTGGCAAGAGTGATTCTACGTTGGATTTCAATGCTGACATTATTATCGGTGTTAATGCTGGTTCCCAAGTAAACGAAATTCTCTACTTTCTCGAAATTGTAACTGTCAACAGTGACGTGGGTGCCAAGGCGCGAATGTGCTGACTGTTTGTTTGATGACAGGAGATACTTCGTCTTGTCCTCGTTTACCACCAGACCCATTCGCTTTGCTTCCCTATCCAACTTGGAAAAGGCAGAACAGACTTCGCGGTTTTTGTTAGCGATGATGTCGATGTCATCGGCATAAGCCAGCAATTGCACGCTCTTATAGTAAATTGTTCCTGAGCGGTTCAGTTCTGCAGCTCTTATTATCTTCTCCAACATCAGATTAAAGAAGTCACATGACAGGGAGTCGCCCTGTCTGAAACCCCGTTTTGTGGCGAACGGCTCGGAGAGGTCTTTTCCAATTCTGACGGAGCTGGTGGTATTGCTCAACGTCATTTTACACAGCCGTATGAGTTTTGAGGGGATGCCAAATTCAGACATAGCGGCGTATAGGCAACTCCTTTTAGTGCTGTCAAAAGCGGCTTTAAAGTCGACAAATAGGTGGTGAGTGTCGATCCTTTTCTCGCGGGTCTTTTCCAAGATTTGGCGTATTGTGAATACCTGGTCTATGGTGGATTTTCCAGGTCTAAAGCCACACTGATAAGGCCCAATCAGTTCATTGACGGTGGGCTTCAGTCTTTCACACAATACGCTCGATAAGACCTTGTAACCTATGCTTAGAAGGCTGATCCCGCGGTAGTTGGCGCGAATGGCGGGGTCACCTTTCTTGTGGATTGGGCAGAGCACACTTAAATTCCAGTCGTCGGGCATGCGTTCATCTGACCATATTCTGCACAAGAGTTGATGCATGCACCTTATCAACTCCTCGCCGCCGTACTTGAATAGCTCAGCTGGCAGGCTGTCAGCTCCAGCGGCTTTGTTGTTTTTCAGCCGCGTTATTGCTATACGTACCTCGTCATAGTCAGGCGGTGGAACGTCGACTCCGTCATCATCGACTGCGGGCTCGGGTTCTTCTTCTCCACAACTTTCCGTGCTGCTACCATTTAGTAGGGCGGAAAAGTGTTCCCTCCATAATTTAAGTACGCTCTGGACATCAGTTACTAGGTCGCCATTATTGTTCTTACAGGAGTGCGCCCCGGTCTTTAAACCTTCCGTAAGTCGCCTAACTCTCTGGTAAAATTTTCGGGCATTCCTCCTGTCGGCCAGCATTTCAAGCTCTTCGCACTCACGTATTTCTGCCTCTCTCTTCTTGTTGCGGCAAATACGTCTCGCTTCCCTCTTCAGATCCCTATAGCGGTCCCACATAGCGCGCGTTGCGCCCGATCGCAGCGTGGCCCTGTAGGCGGCATCTTTTTTCTCTGCAGCTTCCTGACACTCCTCATCGTACTTCTTATTACTAGAGTTTAATTCAATAATTTCAGGCCGTTCGGAAAGCCAGTGTGACGTCAACTGTTCTACACAGATCGATTTTTGTCTGCGGTCCATTGCGTAACGTGTGATCATAGTGTGGCAAAACCAAGCTTTTTATGCGTTAAATTACTATTTGTGGCGTAGATTCTAGTATTCGTTCCATACCAATTTTTACAGCCCGATTCTGTGCACTTGATAAATTGAAAATCTTTATAATTTGTCAACTTTTTGTTATTTATCAAGGATTGGTATTCGAGCACAGAAATCAAGGCGAATACATATAAGGTGGTATCGATTCAATAAATACAACAATTATTTGTATTTTGTTTTTGCTTTTAGCGGGCCATTGTCAAATTTCAGCTATTCTTCCTCGAATGATAAAGGGCGACAGAAAATACAAACACTCTCACGTTTTCACTTACTCGCTAACGAAATACAAAATTTTGACAATGAAACGCTACTCACAGCTGATGAAACAACACCACCTTATATAAATTCGCCTTGACAGAAATCAAAAGCTCTTTTCTTGATAAATTATCAAGATTGAAAATGCTATTGACAAATTGAAATTTTATGTGAAATGTATAAATTTTGTATATTAATTAGGGCTGTGCTTTGGAAAATGCTTATTTTCTTTTTTACATTCTGTATATGAAAAAAATTTTTCGTTTTAATTTTTGAAAACAGAAACTTTGTTTTCAAAGTATCAAGGAACTTTAACTACTTTATACGTATATAAAGAGTTGAAATGTTCATTACTCATTTTACTCGAAATGTTGATTAATCATAAAGCAACTTACTCTAATATTTTTTTTTTTGTTAATCAAAAATCTTGATTACTCGAGTAACTGAACTTTTGAGTAATCATAATTTCCAATTAATCGAATAATTGAGTTATTTACTTTATGATTAACTAAAATTTTAAGTAATCAATCGCACAGCCCTACTATGTACATAAATATACATATGTAGATGTATTTTTAATGACAATGTGTGGTCAAGACCAGGGACTGTAATCATTATAAGTAAAATAATCTAAACTAGTGAACCCGCATGGCGTTAAAATGCCCAAAATTTAATTTCAAAAACTTAAAATTTATTCCAAATGTTAGTCAGAGTTATAAGAGATCCGAGTGCCACATTTCATCAAAACCGTACAGCCGTTTCTGAGTCGCAAAGTACATGTTTTTATTTTGATCGAATTTTAAATCACCCTATACCGGTAGCAAAAGATCTTAATTAAAAAAATAAAACTTTAACATACATCTAAGGTCTCTAATTTGACTTCTTATTTGTAAAATTCCTTTACCAAAGGATTCTCAAATTAAAATCTTCTTAAATCTCTTTAGTCTGACAATGTGATACACATGTATTTCAATAAACTGATAAACTAGTTCGAATATGAATGTTCGAACAAGTGGCAACCCTCCTAAATAAAGGCCAGCAATAAATCCCTTTCAAACCCATTTCGCTTTACACTCATATTTTTATAATTCATCCAACATACTGAATAGTTTGAATGTAACTTTTTAAACACGTGGGGACTCTCTTCAAACATTCGAAATGCTCAAACTAAAGATTTCTTAAAATTCTTTCGTTTGACCACGGTATCTTTATATTTCATATATTTTTGAATTAGTTAATTAATAGACAGGTGGTAGCCCTCTTCAAAAGTATTTTCATTGTTAACTCTCCTTCACCGGAAATTGCGATACATATTTTAATTAACTGATGAATGAAGTGGAATTTTAATTTTCAAACATGTGGCGACCCCGCTCGATACAGTTCAGAAATAAAAAAAATTTTCAAACCCCCTTCGATTCAAACCTATATTTTTATAAAATAATTTAAAGTTAACTTTCTAAACAGGTGGCAACCCTCTTCCAACACCTCAAAAATATTCTTAGCGTTCAAACTAAATATTTCTTAACACTCCTTCGTTTGACATGCATATTTTGATATTTCGTATAACTTGTGTATAAGTAAACTAAATTCGATAATTTAAGCAGGTGGCCGCCCTCTTCAAAATATTTTTACACCAATATTTTCTGAAACACCCTTCATTTGGTACCCATATGGTGATACATATTTCTATTACCTAATATGATTTTTTAAACTGGTGGCAACCCTCCTATAGTTAAGTTAAGAAACGAGGATTTTCCAAAATAATTTTAATGGATTTTTTAAAATGTGGCAACTCTTCTCAAAAAAGTAAAACCTCATTGCATATCTGCAGTTAACGCGTTTTAATTTGACGCCTCATTTTAGAAAATCGAACGAACGGTGCGGATTTGGTGGCATTGATTATTTAATAATTTGAATTTGATTTTTCAACAGGCGGCAACTCTTTTTGAAAAACAAAAACCAGTTTGCACATCTACAGACCAAGCGCTTTAATTTGACATCTCATTTTTGAAAATCGAGCGAACGGTACAGATCTTTTATACTGGACAAAAATTCCCTTCGTGTATTATATATCGCACACCGTCTTCAAAAGAGTCACAACTCAAAGTACTACGATCGTCATAAAATGCGAAAAACTATTTCGTAGAACATGCTACTCATATGTATGGGTAGGGCGACTTTACCTTAGGTTTTTTAACAAATTATAACAAAAATTTGCTCCAGCTTTCGCTGAAAGGTAAACAAAAGCTCTGTGTACATTTTTAGCGCATAATTTCCAAAATGCCAAATTTCGAGTTGTGACTCTTTTGAAAACGGTGTGCGATATATAGATCAGCATTTAATCATTATTTTATGATTCTCATTTTATGATTTCTATTTTTGCCATCATAAATAATACTTATTTTATGATTTATATTTTTTCCATCATAAATAATGATTATTTTATGATATTTATTTTATCGCTCAGAGAAAAAAAATACTATTGATTTTTATTTTAAACCTAAATATAATGATTATTTTTTCAAGTTAAATACCCAGTAGAAATCGGTTGTATGCATTCATGAAGAATGCATGAATTAGTGTGAACAATTCATGCGTATTCATGCATTTAAAGTGGAATTTTTGTAATATTTTCAGTCTTGTACAAAAATTTTAGTGGACGGACGTGTTGTGCGATACTATTTTCAGCACAAACGGGCTTTTACAAGATATATATTGAAATGTATCAGAGAAGTAGCATTTACATATGGGGATACATATCTTGTAAGAATGCTTTAATACTGTTCCATTAATGCATTTTTGTAAGTTTGAAACATTAATACAGCCATATGCATACAGCAGTAGTACAAGTGTATGATTAGAGTACGCATACGCTCTGAGAAACCACGCGTGTTAAATGGAAATGAAGGTTCATTTATACTGGCATGTATACACAGCAGCAAGCTCATGCCACCAACAGCGATGTCGTATGCATCAAATTTCAACTGGATAGCCATAAACATACATACATACATACATATGTATACGCAACCCACTGAAATTTCGACATACAAATGTTGGGACTTATTCCTTTTACTAGGGTGTCGCTACCTCTAACAAGAATATGTGGGGAATGTCGCTTGTGCAGCTTTTGAGTTTTTTAAATAAACATCGGCATTAGAGATGGGCACGGGCCTAAATTTTCAGGCCCGGCCCGGCACGAGTGCAAAATCAACTTTCAAAAACACGCACAAGCCCGCACGTTAAGAAATAAAGAGCCAACTTTTATTGTATGTATATATCTTTTTTTGCTTTTCTCTTATCAAAAGAGTTTTAAAAATGTACTATTTTTTTGTACAAAAACAAAAGCCCATCTAAATTTTTAGTATTAGCAACGGGCTTTTTCGTGCCTTTTCGTGCTTTTATGAAATTTTACTGAACGCCCAGGCCCGCACGAGTTCGTGTTGAAAGCAAATATTCCGGCCCGTACCCGTCGGTCCCCTGCCAAAAGCCCGGCCCGGGCCCATCTCTAGTCGGCATACAAAAACGAAAGCGGACTGTGCATTTAACCACACGCACCTACCGACATGTATTTCAACCCGCTGAAGCTAGGGCATGAATCACGTAACTTTGAAACGATAGTCGTTCAAACGATACTGGCAAAACGATGTCTTCAAAACACTTGTTCATGTATTTGTGATGCTGTTACGTGTAACTGTTACTGTTGCGTGAAGCCAAATTGCAATCGAGATGAATATATTGCTGAAACGATCAAACACTTTTTGTTTTCATGACGCAGACAATCTCAACACGATATCGTGAAAACGATTGTCGTCATACGTGATTCATGCCCAGATCTTAGGTCCGTTCGACTCGTACACCCTCAAAGTTGCGATTAAATGTTGCAACATTGCGAATTTTTTGCCATTTTTTCGCAATTTACTCGAAATTTTGAGGGTGTACGAGTCAAACGGACCTCAGATTCGGATTCAGCGGGTCAAAATACATGTTGGGTGGTGGGTCTGGTTAAAAGCACTGGCCACTTTTTTGTGTACCGGTAAAATCGTTATTCTTAAGTGAAAAAATAAAACTAAATTTTAATTATTATTTTTGAGCGAAAAAATAAATATCATTAAATAATCAATAATAGTGATCGAAAAATAAAAATCAAATATTAATTATTGTTTTTAATTTTTATTAGTTAAAATGGAAAAATAAAAATCATTGTAGATTACAATAGGACGTACGAATACAAATAGGTGAGTATAGTTAATATTGTTTTACGACGCTTGCAAATATTGATTTTATGGTTGAAAGTTAAAAAAATAATGATTATTTTCCATCCCTGGTCAATACACTGTGCACAGGTAATAGCACCAGAGCTTATTGTTTACAAGCGACACGTATTTTGTTGTTGATTTTGGTCTCTAAAATGTCAAAATAGGCAAACAAAATTTAACAATTTAAAGACCAAAGGCAAGAAAGAAATCCAAAGCACTGCTCTGCTGCCACTAACTTTTCAATATCTCTTGTGTGGGGCTATAAAATTTTGTAATTGATTTTCCCAACAGATACCAACGAATACATGTCCTTCGGCGTTTCACAAAATCCTGAAAAAAGCATTATGATTGGCTCTGATGTTGTAGTAGCTTGGGTTGAGAAAGATTCTGGTAAAGGCTTTGCAGTGGACTATTACTTGGGCGATAAGTCACAATGTTCTGGTGGACTTGGAGTTTGCCCAAAAGGCAATATTCAGGTTAAAAATCTCACCCGATAATAAGAAAGTCAATTTAAACATAAAATTATTTAATCGTAGAATGAAACAAACTCAATACGTCTACTAAACGCTGCTTGGGTTAATGGATATTCTATTGTTACATTCCAACGTTCTCTGCAATCAAATAGCATGTTTGATGTCCCGATATTGGTAAATAATTCTCAGGCCATCGTATGGGGTATCGGCCCACTTAATGAACGCCACGAAGCCTCATATCATACTCATTACACACGCTTGACAACTCGTATTGATTTTGGTCGGCAACCTATTTGGAACTGTCCATCGCCCGAAGGCAACAAACCAGCTGACGAGAGTGATGAAGACGAAGTCGAAAGTGGCCAGGGTTACCCGTCGTCTACAACTTCGAGTCAAACTAGTTTGGAGTCTGAAGAAGAACATTACAATACTCCGCAGGCGCTGCAAAGTGCGAATAGGCGTCAAGAACAAGCGCATCAACGGCCTCAATCGCACTCACGTCCCGTACCTACACCGAAAGTGTCGAACACTAATGGCGCATGGGACATTCCAGCTATAGAATGCTATGAACCAGAGGATGGTGTATTTTATGCACAAATGGGTCCAACAGGTGGAAAACATGGCTACTCAGCTATAACTGGTAACATACATACATAAGTCACAAAAATTTAATCTACTGTATACTTATATGCTCATACCCTGCAAAAAACGTAACTAATCTGGGATGACTTCGGGATCAATCGGAAAGGTACATGCGACTATTACCAATTTGGTTCTCCGGATATAGATTTTTTGCTTGAGTGTGTCCTACAAAGAGACTACTTGTGCACCTTTATACCCGAACGGATATGAGAAGCAATTAGTCACTTTTAAAAAATAAGAATAATAAGTTGCCACAACTGAGATTCGAACCGTGGATCTCTTTGTTGCTGAGCCAATGTATTGCATCCCAACGCCGCATGTGAAAACCTGGTGATTAAGTGCATAATATTCGGGACTAATTGAGTAGTTAATGCCCAATTGCATCCCACGGAAAGTAATCCCTGAATACACTCTTTAAAGATTAGTCGCACAATTGTTTGCAGGGCACAATGTACATATGTATGTATGATTGTGTATACATAAGGTGGCCGGTATTTTTAAATTTAAAATTTTATTAGATTCCACCCACAAGATTTGCTGAATATTTATGAAATAAAAAGTTATTTGTACAAAATCTGAGGTTAATGGGGTAACGGTAAGGCGGGCTCAAAGTTCATTCAAAAAGCGGTGGCTGAGTGCGAAAATCTACACAGTTCTGTAGTAACGGTTCTTTAGAAAACCATCTAATGTGAACAAAAATCTAGTCGACTTGTTTTATATGGGGACCTGAAATTTTGTAGTACTAATTTTTCTATGAATTTTTACTAATTTATTAATTAAAATTGTTAAATATTGGCCACTCTAATGCATATACATATATATTTATCTACATTCATAAGTCGAGCTCAAAATAAAACCGACGAATATCGTAACTAATATCAAAATATCTCAGTCGGTAAAGGTTGGATTTCAAATAAAAAGCTAACTGATTTATCTATCTAATTATAAATTAGCAAAAATCAAAAGGGCAATTCATCTAAACGCGTAAAAGCCTCGTAACCACGTAAACCTTGTAAACTTACTTAATTTTGTAGGGAAAATCGGTTCATTTACGCGGTTACGAGGATACTTATACATACATATAACATACTTTGATAGATATGGTAATGTAAATGGTGATTGCATTTGCATTCGCTTTTCGCTAGTTTTGCGATTTTAGATAATAAAGGTAATTGACTACGCAAATTTTTACTGGAATAATTTATGCTAGATTAAAAACGAAACACTAATAATAACTAAAAATGAGTTGATAATAGTAAAATTGAGGGCATAACCACTGAATTTTAACACGACCGATGTCCTACGAAATTCGTATCTTACCAATTCGCATATTTATCTAAAAAATACGAATTCATCATTTGTGTGCATACCCGCTTTTTCGGTGGGAAATTTAGAAGCGTATTACCGAACCATACGATAACATTTCTTCCTTCAAACCTTTTTCAGAGGTGAAACTTTTTGCTGGTAAGGTGATATTCGTCGTTTTTGTTCTGAGTTTCAACTAAAACACATGTTTATTTATGTAAATATTTGTGCATTTTGTAGGCCACGTTGGTTGGGGTATATCATGGTATATTAACGGTTTATTAATTCCTGAAATTCACGTTGTTCGCGGCAAAACCTATACGTTTGTGGTTGAAGGAGGTATAGATGCGGATATACCTGCGAAATACCATCCATTCTATATCACCGATGACCCTGTGGGTGGCTATGAACATAAACTAGAGGAAGAAAAAAAGGTGAGTTTAAACAATTTTTGTATTCATATCTGCCCTTCAAACACAAATTTTGTTCTGAAAAAAATGTGTTTGAAGGGCAGATAAGTTTTAAAACCTACATAAAAAAAACGCCACAAAATGAGTTTGAAAATGACAGCTGGTTTAGAAATCTGTTCAATTTTTTATGAAATTATGGGGCGTATTCTCGTTTTCGTACGAATCGAAAATATTGAAATTTACCTATAACCTTCTATACAAAAATTTCAAAAGAATACGCCTCATATTAAAAAGTTATTTTCATGAGCGGTTATCATTGTAAGTTGATCAATTTAAGCCAGTAGTTATATCTACTAGCGATTCTATTTTGATTTTTAGTTTATTCATCAATGGGCCCGTTTCTAAGACGTAGCTGTAGCTAAACTGTTGAGTGTTTGTTTAAGAAACGCACATTTGAGTAGTTCCACTCAGCTCAACGGTTGGCAACTTTACGCCATATTTTCCATCATAAAATTATTTCGCTACATGAAGTCAAGAATTTATATATGTAAAACAAAAATGATGTTTCCCTTCCGTCAGTTTTCATAGAAAATTCAAATAAAAAATAACTTGTCTGTAAATTGCTAGCGAAACTGGCTGTTAATAAAATAAAATACACGTACAAATACATATATTAAAAATGAAATAAGAAAAACTCGATTATAAATCCTGTGCTATCCATGTTTTTGGCTTAATATTTTTTTTATTTTTGTGCGGTTTTATTTAATTTTGCTTGTTTACAAATGGTTTGGCAGTTTATGTATCATACCGTTTCTAAGACGTAACTGTTGAACTCAACAGTTGACAGCATTTCAGCAACAGTTGAGGTAAACAGTTGCGTCTTAGAAACGCGCCCAATGAAATTTTATTTTTATTTTTCGAGCTAAATAATTTTATTTTTTTTTTTTTGTTTTGGACATTTTTTATCTTAAAAGGCCATACAGACGAATCCAACCGAAATTTCAATCATAATTATTTTAATTTTTTATTGGTTAAAGACGAAAAATATTAATCTTCAAAGACTATAACAGAATATTGAAAGAAAACTATGAGTCGATAGAGTTTTTTGCAAAGCTTAGAACATGGTTTTTAAATTAAAATTTGAAAAATAATGATTATCTTTCATCCCTGACTATTTTATGTTGTATAGAATTTTTTTTTTTGTCATTTATAAGGCAGAATTTAGAAAGAATATCTCAAGCCTTTTAAAATTCTCCACAAAATTTCCTTTTCGAGATAACGCGATTTTTCATTTCGATTGAAAAGTTAGCTATTAATTTACTTTTCACTGAACAGTTATTATTATTTTCTTCGACTTACAGGGTGTACGCATATTCGCTGGTGTGCATCGTTCTCGTTCTGGGCAATTGACGCCAACTGGGGTTGGTCGTCTCTGCAACTGGACACCGGATGTTGATGGCCCCTTGGCTGATGATTTTCAATCATTTGGGGCCTATCAACGTACATTGACTTTAAAATGTGATCCCGGTGAACCCGGCGTTATTACTTGGACTCCGGACCGTAATACACCAGATACTGTTTATTACCAGTGCTTCACTCATCGTTATTTGGGATGGAAGATTCACGTACATGATTTTTGCGATGATTCACGTTTCATTGCATCGGCATCGAAGAAATACGAGGTTCGCGTACCATATCACGCTCCCGGCGATGGCGATGATATCGCTGCTGAGGCATCAATTCGTCACGAAACAAAGGTCAGCCCCAACGATAATTTTTTATTGAAGCACCAAACAGATTTGATTAAAAATCATAATATGAATGGAACACCGCCAAAATTGACATTTGAAATAACAAAATCATCGGAAATTACTAAACTGATTTCAGATGGAATCCGGGCTGCAGAAGCTCTCGAGGAGAGCATACTAAGGAACACCAACAACCACAACCGAAATGTCAACAACAATAAGAATATAAACCATATTGCTGCTAAGGTCCCGATGCGAGGTTTACCTACCAATAAACAACAAGAGCAACTGTCAAATACGAGTCCGACAGCAAGCATCCAAATGAATGACATAGAAGCTGCTCAAGGACAAATATCGTTTGAACCACGTATTACCACATCCGTACCGGAAACATTACATGGAGAAAATCATATCCAATCATATCACAAAACTCCACAATCATTGTTACACATTAACTCTAAAAAAATATTATCGTCCACATTATCATCAACACCTCTTCATCATCATATGCATCACCATTCACATCACCATCTAAATAATCTTACTAATATTGCATTGCAATCACAGAAAACAATAGGTCTCTCAGAGTTTCTCCGCCCACCACATAATGCAGCTCTTTTTCATCCAGTCAAATTACCAGGACGTCGACCATACATTGGACCAATAAAGAAGGTGCCAGCCACCAGGACTGTACTTCCGCAACAGTTACACCGCATACCACATCCTCCCATACAGCCCATACCACAACCTTCTGTTATAGTCAGTCACTATCACAAGCCGGTGCCGAGCCTGCTGAAACCATTTATCAAAGAAAACCCACTTCCAATTCAACCTATAGCAGCGTCCGTATTATTGCTGGGTCAACCAGCAAGTTTAAGCGGCTTACGTAAAAACGACCCTGTGCTCCTGAATCCAAAACCTAGTTCTGTCATACCTGTGCCTTATATTGATGTGGTACCCAAAAAATCAATTCAAAATCTTATCAGTGGAAATGGAAGTGAAGATAAGAATAATATTTTTCAATCGCTTTCGCTGCCAAATCAAGTGCTTGAGAAGTCCGATCCACTTTCTGTACCAACAAACATCTTTAAGAAAAATGTGGATACACAAGATGTCAAAGAGAACCCTTCTTCGCTAGATATTGCCACTATGAAGCCTGCCATCAATAATGGTTTCAAACCTGATTCGGTGGTCGTGGAAAGTGGCTTTCGACCAATTTTGCGCAAAGACGGCGGCTCGAAACTACCCAACATAGATCAAGTGGCACATCGGCGTGAGGATCCAGGATTAGAGATTGATGAGGTTATGGAAACAGACACACTTTTTCTAACAGCCCAAAAAGATACACAAACTCAAAATTTCGAACCAATGTTTATCCCGTCGCCACTAGATAGCACTAATGTTACTGTAATAATACGAAATGTTGGCTCGTCTTCATCTAGTCCACAATTAAAGGTGCTTGATGCAAAGATCATAGAAAATATGCCCGCAGTTGCCAAGCTTCGCAACGCGACAATAGAGGAGATTTTGTTAGAACTAAGAGAAGACGAGCGTTTAGATGACAATGTTACAAGTAAACTAGATGAAAATGTTACGAATTTACCCGCAAATGAAAGTGTCAAACCGGAGGAAGCTTATTCTAGTGAACAACAGAACAAAAATACATCCGAATTGTACGTGTTGGATAGTCTGTCCGAAATGGAGGCTATCGATGAAGAAGATGACCGCGAAGCTCAGGCGGCAGAACGAATAGATACATACTACCTACCACCAGATAACCGCAAAATACCACATGCCAGCTTACCGAGCGGTGCCGTTGTTACATTTGATGGTAAATCTATTGTAGACGGCAATTTAGTTTTGCCACCCAAATTGGAGGCACTAGAAGAGCCCAGTTCACACCGCCAAGCACACGGTCTCTCCCAAATTGAACAGCTCATACGAAGTACACCCCAAGTTAGACCGTTTCGAGGGGAAATACCGCAACCCGTGGCTGAGTTTCTCTCGAACGAACGTTCAAGAAATAGAGCCTCCGGCACCGGCTCTGGTGGTATAGTCGGTGGTACAGGGTCTGGAATTGGCGGTCCATACTTGCCTTCGACCTCACTTTCACCGCCTCGAGTGCACTCAACCAAACTGCAAAAATTAGACGAATCGGCTTTTCGGCACTAGCTTTACTACAAAGGTGGATGGAGATATTTACGTACACATGTACACACATAGGTACCATAGAAGCGTCCTTTAATATTACTATTGATAAAATTAAATAAAATTGAAGAAATTTCTTAGCGTAAATAAAATGAGGCAAAATACTCTAAAAGCTAAAAGCTATGTATACACATAATTGTTGTTTTTTTTTCATAAATTCTGCAGTTTACTAAAGCTCGCAATACATTTCCATGCGAGCGTGAGCATGAGCGTTCACAAACCCAGCAAAAAATTATATAAGCAGTTGTAAGAAATAATGAATAAGCTTGCGGCGCTTGGGGAGGTCTTTCCCAATTCTGACGAATCCGGTGGTATTACTCAACGACATTTTACATAGCCGTATCAGTTTGGCGGGGATGCCAAATTCAGGCATAGTGACGTATAGGCAACTCCTTTTGGTGCTGTCGAAATCGGTTTTAAAGTCGACAAATAGGTCGATCCTTATATCACGAGTCTTTTCCAAGATTTGGCGTATTGTGAACACCTGGTCTATGGTGGATTTTCCAGGTTTAAAGCCACACTGATAAGGCCCGATCAGTTCATTATCGGTGGGCTTCAATCCTTGACACAATACGCTCGATAAGACCTTGTAACCTATGCTTAGTAGGCTAATCCCGCGGTAGTTACCGCGAATGCCGGGGTCGCCTTTCTTGTGGATTGGGCAGAGCACACTTAAGTTCCAGTTGTCGGGCATGCGTTCATCTGACCATATTCTGCATAAGAGTTGATGCATGCACCTTATCAACTCCTCACCACCGTACTTGAATAGCTCAGCTGGCAGGCTGTCATCTCCAGCAGCTTAGTTGTTTTTCAGCCGCGTTATTGCTATTCGCACCCCGTCATAGTCAGGTGGTGGAACATCGACTCCTTCATCATCGGCTGGGGCTCGGGTTTTTCTTCTCCACAACTTTCCGCGCTGCTACTATTCAGTAGGTGGGAAAAGTGTTCCCTTCATAATTTAAGTACGTTCTGAACATCGGTAACTAGGTCTCAATGGTTGTCCTTACAGGAGTATGCCCTGGTCTTGAAACCTTCCGTGTGTCGCCTAACTCTCTGGTAAACTTTTCGTGCATTCTTCCTGTCGGCCAGCATTTCAGGCTCTTCGCAGCAAATACGTCTCGCTTCCCTCTTCAGTTCCCTATAGCGGTCCCACATGGCGCGCGTTGGCACTGTAGGCGGCACCTTTTTTCTGCAGCTTCACGACACTTTGATATATTAACTATTGCAATAGGTGAAGTAATAACGAAGTTATTAGTCAAACTAAAAACTTCACGTTCACACTCGCATTGAACTGTATACCAAGCTTAAGATCGGTGTTACGCAAAAATTTTATTTTGGAAGCTGCGTGAAATTGTTATTGAAGTAACCCCGGAGAGAGCGAGTTTGGCTAGTGTCACGGTTTTGAGAAAATTTACTTTGAAATTTAAGTTCGGATTTGAGACGTTATTAGCTTTTATTACCCATATTTTTAAAATAAATATCGTAAATCTTTATCAGGAAATTAGCAAATGCTTGTCTTGATTTGCGACACCTGATAAGAACTTTTGCGTTGACCAATACAAAAATAGTGTTCAAATGTAAAAATTATTAGTTTAGGTTGAAGGGACTGAAGAACAAAACCTTCCTTACTCATAGGTCAAGAATAATAGCGCCGAGATAACACATGGTATATGTACATTAGGGTGGTCCAAAACAAGTAAAGTCAGAATTTTAATGCTCTCCCTTTTCTGGAGGGTTTGGCGGACCCATAAAATATAGTTACTATAAAACAAAATGGTTAGATAAATAATTGGGCAATACTTTGGGAATCTTCTGAAGAGGAACAGAGTTTTGCCGATCGAAAAATATTGATTTTCAAGAATTCCATACCATTTCTACGAAAAGTGATTTTTTCCCCCTTATAAAATACATGGAAAACTTTGAGCGCTTTGAGCGTCCTCTAAATATATTTTGATTTCAAAATAAAAAATAGGGGTATATTTGTTTAGGTATAGAACAATCCTAGGGGGTGAGAGCATAAAAATCCCACTTTACTTTTCCACATGTATTTTTAGAACACCCTAATGTACATACATACTAATCGCCTTTGATGCTTTGAGCTCTTATTTTCAGCTGTGAGCAAGTATTTTAAGGTTTGCCGCGTTTGTTTGTGCGTTCTATAATCCTGCTGTTCCACAGCCTTGATTTTCCTATCGTGTTCTTTCTAATTCATCACACTTCTTCTTGACATACCGATGACCCTTTGATGTGCCTAGGATATCTGTGGCACTTAAACAATTTTGAGCTTCTTTGATGGCATACTTAAAGGATAGGGCTTTATTAAGTCGTCTAAAAAGTAAATTTGTAGAGGGGTATCCAAATATCTTGAGTCCTGCGTCGTCTATGTTTTGGGTCCATTTTTTGCAGAAGCACTTTTTATCATAGTTAATATTCGTTAATCCGCTCGTATGATAAATACTGATTCTTTAAATATCTACACTCCAGTGCCATCTGTCAGCACCATTTTTTGCAAAAGTATATCTGATAGTGTCCGACCGAAGAATCGGCCTGGCTTCGGTATTCGGCCTATTCGGCTGGCTTTTTATCTTCGCCTTCGGCTTTCGGCTGAAAATGCCGAACAATTTGGCAATTAATTAATTTTACGACAGTTGTTGAAATTTTATTGTTGTTTCACATCTCTACCCCGTAGAAAATCTGACTAGCTCAGAACTACTACACCGACAGTACTACCTCCAGGTCAATACCCAAGCAATGCTTCCAACTGTCCAGTTTTGTACGGCGATGTCATTGGCAATTGTCGCCCAGTGCATTACTTTGCAACTAGATTTTAACCGGTTCCGTTGTAGACAGTTTTTTTTATAAGAAATTTTACATTATTATTTTGATGTTACGTCTGATGAAATTCAAATGTGGGATCACCTACAAAAGAACATGTAAACAAATAAGCAAATACATATGTAATGTTAAATAAAATAAATTTAGAAAATATAAAAATATCGGACAATTTTTTGGGTGAATCGGGGTATGAACAGGTTTTTTGTAAGGAATTAGGTGTGACTAATTTTTTTTATATTTTGCTTCAATAATTGCATAATGAGTTAAAAAAGATGCATATGAAATACAACTGCAACTAAAAGTACTGATTTTGTAACCCTGCCGTTTAATTTTTTAGAATTTTCTTTGTCGCATTTGCTTTCCTATATAGTGAATACAGTGAAAGCTCCGATAAGCGGACACCGATGGTCACCTACTTTTTGCCCGCCTATGGGAGATGTCCGGTTATGGGAATTTCGTAAAAAATAATCGTAAAGTTCAAATTTAAAAAATGTACGTTGCGGGGACTTAAATGAAATAATACTTATCTTTGAATCGATAAAAACAGAATGAATGGTAAATACATTGAAATTTATGGCGTTCTATTTTCTACCGATTAATCTCATTGCCCACCTCGCTCGAGCAGTAAGAAGAGGGCAATGAAAAGGCAACATTTTTTTTAGAAAAGAGAACATCTTTGGATTTGGACGTAAGTTTGTATGTTCTTGTGTGCAAGAGTAAGAGTAAAAAACAAAAATTCACGCTTATTAGAGCTTTGCGCCCGCTTATGGGAGATTTTTTTTTTCATAACTAGACAAGTTTGAGTGTCCGCGTCCGGTTATCGGAAAGTCCGTGTATGGGAGAGCATTTTGTACGAAAAAAACCAAAAATTGTGCGTTCCCAAGAATGTGTCCGCTTATAGGAGATGTCCGATTATTAGAGCGTCCGCCTATTAGAGCTTTCACTGTAAAACTATTTATTTTTATATGGAACAAAACCGCAACCAACTCCAAACAAAATAATAAAAGGAAAATTTTTAGCCACTTGCCACATTATTATACTAGAACTGAGTGTGCTACAATACTGCATACCCAAAACTTTCTAGGGAATCGAATTAAAAAAGCTCGAAATTTATACGAAAGCTTGTTGATTTTTTTTTTTAATGTTGCATAAAGTTTGAAATTTGAATTAACTATATTTTTTTTTTAAATAACTCCAATTTAAAAACAAAAAGATAATAATTATGAAAACTTGTCAAAATTTGCTGCGACTAAAATTTTTTCGACTACTGTATGTGTGTAAGTATTATATGTATGTACATTTTTTGTTCTTTATTTGTTACCTGACTTTACAAAAGTTTGGTTTGACTTATGAGTACATAGATAAATTACATTTAGAAATAAAATGAACAGAAAGACCAGCAATATATCAAAACACAAATTTGTTTGACAAAATTTCGGGCGAAATCGGGTAATTTCCTAGTTGAAATCAGGGAATTCTCAAAAATGAGTTGGCTACCCTGGTTGACTCTCTGTTTGTTTTCACCACACATTTTTGGAGATTTTTTTGACTCTCCTACTGAGTACCAGTGTTGCCAGGTCCCCGGCATGAGAAAACGTCCCTCTTGGTCTGAAAAAACGTCATTTTCTATCCCAAAATGTCTTTTCTATGTATGCACACAGAATTGTTCTTATTAAACTTTTATTGTATACAAACCTTACCAGCAATTGGAAGAGAATTTTATGGCCCATCGCCCGGATGTCACTGTTGGAAGTTATAAAAGCGATAGTAACTCATTTCACAAAGACAAAAAACATTTCTGTCGTTTTTCTATCTTCTTAAGAGGTGCTCGGACTCTTTGAAGTTTTAAAAATTAACAAGGCAAATATTGAAAGTTCAATCAAGTAAAATTATATTTTTGTATTCAAAATTTTTTTATAATATCGAATAACAAATAATAAAGTTACGTTTAAGTTTTAAACAGTGCGTTATTCGATTTATTATGTTATTGCCTTTTTACCATACATTTTTGGAACTGATTTTTAAAATGTTTAGTTGAAATTTCTTAAAATATAAGTGCGTTTGAGCTAGCAATCTAACCCGAAAGCAGGATGAAAAATGCGTAAGCAACTCTGCGGCTGTGGTTGCAAGCTCAGAGGTACCCAAAAAATCATACTAACTCTGGGATTCAGTAATTCAGTCTCATCTCAAGTCACTAAATTTGAGATTAGCAATTAGTGACTAGTTTTGTGACTTGCGAAGATTTGGGTATTCATAAGGAGAGAGTCACAA